TCACCCTTTCGCTAAACGCAAATTCACGCAATGTCTTGGTCGCAAGTCACACACACGTTCCCGCCACGCTCCAAGGGCAGCTACCTTGTAACCAACGAGATTGAGCGAGCCATTGACAGCGAACTGCGCAAATACAAAGTCGGCATGTGTAACCTCTTCCTCCAACACACCAGTGCCTCTCTCTGTCTTAACGAAAACGTCTGCCGCGAGGTACGCGAAGACCTAACAATGGCCCTCGATCATATTGCTCCTGAAACACTAAAGTACAAGCACACAGACGAGGGACCCGATGATATGCCCGGCCATGTTAAGAGTGCCTTGGTCGGCGTTTCTTTGAACATACCGATCAAGGATGGACAGCTGGCTCTCGGAACGTGGCAGGGTATATATTTGAACGAGCACAGAACATACCAGCACAGGAGAACCGTTATTGTCACTATGCAGGGCGAAAAGAGAAAGTGAGTCAGGTGCTTTTTGTGGTTGTGTAAATATTTATCCACTTTATATATTGATAAATAAAAGTTATTGTTTTTATAAACTCAGTTATCACTGTGTGGGCAAGGGGCACTTGTTGACTGTAACGGTGATGGTGTGGCGTGTGGTCGTGGACAATGTGGAGGTTGATTCGGCGGCCTCCCTGGACTCCTCGGACTCAGCGGCCTCGCTGGTCTCGCTGGTCTCGCTGGACTCACTGGACCTAGCAGTCTCGCTGGACTCACTTGACTCACTTGACTCAACGGCCTCGCTGGACTTGCTGGACTCAGCAGTCTCGCTGGACTCAGCAGTCTCGCTGGACTCAGCAGTCTCGCTGGACTCAGCAGTCTCGCTGGACTCAGCAGTCTCGCTGGACTCAGCAGTCTCGCTGGACTCAGCAGTCTCGCTGGACTCAGCAGTCTCGCTGGACTCAGCAGTCTCGCTGGACTCAGCAGTCTCGCTGGACTCACTTGACTCACTTGACTCACTTGACTCAACGGCCTCGCTGGACTTGCTGGACTCCCTGGACTCGCTGGACTCACTAGACTCGGCAGTATCACTGAACCCAGTGCTAGTAAAACTGGTAGTTGGACTATTAGTGCTTGTGGTTGAAGTTACCGTAGAAGGGGTCGAGGGAATGGAAGTGGCCAAGCAGTTTAAGGCAATATTGTCAGCATACGGGCTGAAAATTCCAGCAGGGAAAAGGTGCGCAGCTTGCGAAATGGCTGATCCAGGTGGCGCATTGGAAGCAAGCAGATTGTTCTTGCCAACAACAGTGCTTTGGGTCAGCGAGGTTTTGATATTTGGCGGCATAAATTGCCACAGGACCTTCAGCTGGGGGTCAACACCAGCCTTAATTTCAGACCAGTGTTGCTGCGCGCATGTTTGGGCCGAGGTAGAATCCCAATTGACGGTGTTGCCGAGGGCTGCGTTGGCAGCATCCCAATCTGGGCCATGCTGGGCAAGAGCAGCACCAAGTATGGCAAATATAGCCACGGGTATCTTTGCAAAGAACATTGACAAGGAGGCAGAGGATTAGGTAATGTAATAGGAATAAAATATAAGGTGAGGATAAATGTAACAAAAGTAATTGGGAGAAAATGATTACTTTAAAAGCAAACGGCAGCAGGCTGCCAACTAAATAAATTTAGCAGCGTTCTCTCTATATACTTTGCCGTTTTCATTCACTTTCTCTTCAATAGTTTTAAAAGCTCATTTTTTTATTTTTCTGTCAGAACTTAAGAAATGTGGACTGACAATTTCCCTTTCCCCACCAAAATTTCATATTTCTATTTCTTTAGGCAATAAATTTGGAGAAAAACTATTTTGTTCCGTTCAACTTGTTATTATCTAGTCATGACATTGATCGGCTGACATAAAAAATTGTTGAGAATCGACGGCTTTAAAAAATTTGGCGGCGGAACCAGTGGCTAATGCAATCGTTTATTTATTTACGACAAAATAGTTATTACGAGACAGCTTGGAAAGGAAACATCTTAAAATAGGGAGGGAGGATCCGACCAAATGAAAGGAAAACCTCCCCCGCGCATATTTGACTTTGTGCAAACATTCAGCTATAAGCCGATCCGGTTCAGACCAGCAGCGATCAAACATCGGTCAATCCCAACAGCTTATTTAATGTATTTAGCGGTCTGTTTAAAATTTATTGGTTGAAAATGATGGAAAAAAGAACGCACAATTGCGAAATAAAACAAAGGTTCTATGGTTTTCCGCAATCTAATTTTAGCAAAAATAAATAAATAAAAGCTAACGGTAAGACCAATGTAGGTGAAAACAGAGCAGCACAGTGAGGCGGATAGGGGCCAGAGAGAAGAAAGGGAACTAATCTATTTTGAGAGCGTATTGTGCCCAAGCAGAAGCCCTGTTTTTTCACAAAGCATCGGTCACAGGGTCCGGACGCTAGCAAAAATGCACGCAGCCAGCCTGTTTGTCGCAAGAAAAACCCCGAAAGAGAGCGAAAAAAGATCAACTTATTATATTATATAACAGAAAATTTTGCACACAAAAGGCATGGCCAATTAACGACTCATTTACAGTCAGAGCCGGTCAATTGGCCGACAATTCAGCATTCTACTGGCAGACTCTAATCCTGCTGCAGTCGGCTCATTAGGTTCTGCTCGCGGCGATCCAAGTCATCAATGATCGAGCGCAGTCTGCGGAGCTCAAAGCGGACCTCCTCCCTGCGCAAGACCAGCATCTCGCGGTATTCCTCCGAGGGAATCCGTCGCAGCGGAAACCACTCAGGCAGCAGCGTAATCGGGTCGACGCTCACTGCGCGCCGCACCCGCGCAATAATTGACATTGACTCCGCTTCATCATCCGCAGTTTCTACCGCAATATTGCCTTGCTGCTTCGTTTTATTCTCGGCGGCCATTTCCCTAATAATAATCTGCTGCCGCCGGTGATTAAATTTAGTGAATGCGAACTGGCCGATAACTGCCACCAGGCCAAAGAACACAGCGCCCGAAACCACCGACTTTCTGCGACCGCGGCTGATAAAGGCCAGGGTGCCGCCGGTCAGTGCGCCGGCCAATGCGCTGCTGAACATTTCGTCATTTTCGCGGGTCTGCGATATGCGCAGATTCATCGCTTGATTTTTCTCGCGCTGCTCGGCCAAAAGAGCCTCGCGAGTCGTGAAGAAGAAGAGCCCACAGAGGGACCAGTTGCCGGCCATGGTTGCTGTGTGGCGCGCAATTGGCTGAAGGTTCTTTAGGATGGCCACGTTGAGTCCGATGGCCCCGCCGGCTGCGCCTAGGCCCAGGGTCCCTAGGATAATTCGCTTGCGTGCATTGCGATCGCCCAATATTGCCGACATTTCTCGTAGTTGATGACTTGGTTTTTTTGCTAGCAGTGGCTGTAGATCGAATTTTAAAATATAAACTTTTCTCAGAGTATACAATATGAATATGATGAACGCAATTAATTGTTGAAAATATGAATTAATAAGTGCAAACGCGAATCCAGACCCTAGTGGGAAGATCTTCGATAAAGGCATAGATAAAAAGTATGGGGTGAGAGATCACAGCAATTTTTTATTGCTTTGCAATTCAAATGTTCTTTTAGGATATGCCTTATCTCTCTTTTTTATTTGCGGTTAACTAGCCGATGAAACAAACACATAATTACGAAGAGCAAACCCATTAAACTCAAAGCGTCAAAAGATGTCTATTTTTGCAATTCCAATAATAATCTATTCAGGTCTATTATATTCTGAGATCAGCAGGCAAGCTTAAAAGCAATATATGTTTGCAATCCAACAAGAGCCATTGTTTGTTGCTCATTTTGTTTGAGGAGCACCGGCCAGTTGCTCGTTCAAATAAATTGAATTTATCCGTCCTTCTTAAAACTATTGGCAGCTGTGATCTGTTATCTGTCAAAAAGAGCATTCTTAAAAAAGGTTGTTAAAAGAACAACATACTCTCTTATCGCATTCATTTTGTGTTTAAAATTTTTATTTTTTCCGCCTTGTCCTTTTTATCTTTTATTTTTGTAATTTTCATTTTTTATTTTCGTCATTTAAAAAATAAACGCCAAGGCTCGGCCAACGAGACAATAATTAATTTTAAAAAAAAGCCTTCCACATTTTATTCCCGATTGTTTCATGAAGGCCTACGCGCTGAACACACACATACACACCAGCTGAAAATAAAAGTTATTCCTTTATCTCACTTCAAAAGGGTAAATTTTCTATTCTTATTTTTTTGTATTCCTCAAAGCCCCTTTTTCTCTTTTCTGATCTCATAAAATGACACCAAAGACACTTTTAGGTCGGGGGGCAGTCTCCTGGCTCAAACACTCAGCGCACATATTCCTCTTCCACAACGACAAATACCTTCGCGACGAGTTCTTCGTAACCTCCTACTTTATTCCACAGCCAACACTCGGGATTATCCGCACAGTCATATTCATCTACTGCCTCGCAGTGCTCATCGCCAACCTCGCCATCAACATTTCTCACGGCGCAGGGTGGAACTGGGCCGCATACTTTACCACCCTGACATTTATTGGAATCACACTGTACTATGGCTTTGCAGCATACAATACGGTTCGTTACACAACAGTAAATCGCATATGGAACTGGTGGCGGCTAGAGTGGCAGTGGCACAGGAAAGCAGTGAGGGAGTTGCCGATTTCTATGCCGATGCCGTTGCCGCCGGACCAGCTGATGATACTGGCTGGGGATAGTCGGATCGGAATGCCATCGGTGAGTGCCCTGGTCGCAGATAATGCTGGGTTGGGTACGATTTCAATTGTCACCAATACAGACTCGTGTTCAGGCAGCTCGTCAGGGATTGAGCGCGTGCAGCTGCTGCGCTCCGACCATGAGCGGGCACCTATGGGCTTGCGGGACATTGGGATAGCGCCTGAAATCGACGAGATCAAGGAGATATGCGACCAGCAGCAGCAGCAGCAAGACCAGGACCAGGACCAGGACCAGAGTCAAATCCAACAGCAGCAGCAGAATAAGCGGATATCCGATACAACAAGAACCAGGACCAGGACCAGGTCCAGGACCACGACTGAATCCAGATCCATGGCTGACGAAGATACACAGTACCGGCGGCCAGCATCCGTCGCCCATCAGCTGTCGCTCGCCTCACAATGGGTTTTGTACGAAACATTCACGTGCTACGCGCCCCTAGTAACGTTAGTATACTGGTGCCTCTTGTATCCGACACAAGGCGGGCTTGATGGGGTCCTGGACACATGGATGGGCGTCAGCATGCATGCGATAAACTTTCTTTTAATGTCGCTCGAAGTAATGGTGTTTGCGCGGTGCCGATACCGGTGGACGCACTTTGGCGTGGTGGTTCTGTGCTTGGTGCTGTACTTGGCTTTGGTGTATTTTATGGTCGGTGTCTATGGGTTTTATGTGTATCCGTTTTTTGAGACAAAGTTTTTTGGTGGGTATGTTGCTGTGGTGTGCTTGTTGGTGGTTGTTGTTGTGGCGATCATTTGGGTTATTATGCTGATGGTGCACCGGTGGAGGGATATG